CTCACTGAAGTATTTATTATCTTACTCCAGAAGGTATGGCTGTTATCGAAAGACAAAAGATTGCACGTGCTGACAAGAATGTGAAGAAAAGGGGACCCTTCCATACTGCTGGGGAAATGTAAATTAGTGCATTCATTCTGGAAAATAGTATGGCAGTACTTCAAAAACTAAGATAGATTAAAATAAATATCATACACTTCAAAATAGTTGTACAATACGATATATAATATGATCAAGCAATCTCACTCCTGGAAATATATCCAAAGAAAATGAAACCAGTGTGTTGAAGAGATATGTGCACACTCCCATGCTTGTTGCAATATTATTCACAATAACCAAATAATGGAAATAACAATCTAAGTCCATCAGCAGGTGAACTGATCAAGAAACCATGGTATAAATAGGTAAAGAAACTGTCAAAATATCCCTATTTGCAGACGATATGATCCTATACCTTAAAGACCCAAAAAACTCTACTCAGAAGCTCCTAGACACCATCAACAGCTGTAGCAAGGTAGCAGGATATAAACTCAACATAGAAAAATCATTAGCATTTCTATACACTAACAATGAACAAACTGAGAAAGAATATATGAAAACAATTCCATTTAGGTGTAAATGTAAAAAAGGATGTGAACGACCTCTACAAGGAAAACTATAAACTTCTGAAGAAAGAAGCTGAGGGAGACTATAGAAAGTGGAGAGATCTCCCATGCTCATGGATTGGTGGAATCAACATAGTAAAAATGTCTATACTCAAAAGTAATCTACATGTTTAATGCAATTCCCATCAAAATTCCAATGACATTCATTAAAGAGATTGAAAAATCTACCGTTAAATTTATATGGAAACACAAGAGGCCACGAATAGCCAAGGCAATACTCAGTCAAAAGAACAACGCTGGAGGTATCACAATACCTGACTTTCAAACTATATTACAAAGCAATAACACTAAAAACAGCATGGTACTGGCACAAAAACAGACATGAAGACCAGTGGAACAGAATAGAGGACCCAGATATGAAGCCACACAACTATAACAAACTTGTCTTTGACAAAGGCGCTAAAAATATACGATGGAGAAAAAACAGCCTCTTCAACAAAAACTGCTGGGAAAACTGGTTAGCAGTCTACAAAAAACTGAAACTAGATCCATGTTTATCACCCTATACCAATATTAACTCAAATTGGATCAGACCCCAAACTCTAAAGTTGGCACAGGAAAGAGTAGGAAATACTCTGGAATTAATAGGTATAGGCAAGAACTTTCTCAATGGAACCCCAGCAGCTCAGCAACTAAGAGATAGCATAGATAAATGGGACTTTATAAAACTAAAAAGCTTCTGCTCAACAAAAGAAATGGTCTCTAAACTGAAGAGAACACCCACAGAGTGGGAGAAAATATTTGCCAGCTACACATCAGACAAAGGACTGATAACCAGAATATATAGGGAACTCAAAAAACTAAATTCCCCCCAAATTAATGAACCAATAAAGAAATGGGCAAGTGAACTAAACAGAACTTTCTCAAAAGAAGAAATTCAAATGGCCAAAAAACACATGAAAAAATGCTCACCATCTCTAGCAATAAAGGAAATTCAAATTAAAACCACACTAAGATGCCACCTCACTCCTGTTAGAATAGCCATCATTAGCAACACCACCAACAACAGGTGTTGGCGAGGATGCGGGGGAAAAAAGGAATCCTCTTACACTGTTGGTGGGAATGTAAACTAGTACAACCACTCTGGAAAAAAATTTGGAGGCTACTTAAAAAGCTGAACATTGATCTACCATATGATCCAGCAATACTACTCCTGGGGATATACCCAAAAGACTGTGACACAGGTTACTCCAGAGGCACCTGCACACCCATGTTTATTGCGGCACTATTCACAATAGCCAAGTTATGGAAACAGCCAAGATGCCCCACTACTGACGAATGGATTAAGAAAATGTGGTATCTATACATAATGGCATTTTATGCAGCCATGAAGAAGAATGAAATGTTATCATTTGCAGGTAAATGGATGGAATTGGAGAACATCATTCTGAGTGAGGTTAGGCTTGCCCAAAAGACCAAAAATCGTATGCTCTCCCCCATATGTGGACATTAGATCAAGGGCAAACACAACAAGGGGATTGGACTTTGATCACATGATAAAGTGAGAGCACACAAGGGAGGGGTGAGGATAGGTAAAACACCTAAAAAACTAGATAACATTTGTTGCCCTCAACACAGAGAAACTAAAGCAGATCCTTTAAAGCAACTGAGGCCAATAGGAGAAGGGGACCAGGAACTAGATAAAGGTTAGTTTGAGAGGAATTAACTTAGAAGGTAACACACATGTACAGGAAAGCAATGCGAGTCAACTCCCTGTATAGCTATCCTTATCTCAACTAGTAAAAACCCTTGGTCCTTCCCATTATTGCTTATACTCTCTCTACAACAAAATTAGAGATAAGAGCAGAATAGTTTCTGCCTGGTAGCGAGGGGTAAGGGGGAGTAAGGGAGGTAGTGGGGTGGGGAGGAGGGTGTCAGGGGAAGGAGGAAGAAATGACCCAAACATTGTATGCACATATGAATAAAATAAAAATTAAAAAAAAAGAAACCATGGTATATAAACACAGCCTTTAAGAAAGAGGGGAATTCTGTCATTGGTGAAAAATGGATGGAGGTATAGAATATTATGTTAAGTGAATTCATCCAGGCACCAAAACATAAGTACCACATCTCTTGCTTATAAGTGGACCCTTATAACGATTGAACTCTTAAGAGCAGAGAGCAGAATGGTGGATATGGAGACTGAGGGGTGGGGGGACAGGAAGATGATGGTCAAAGGCACTGAGATATGATTAGAGAGAAGGAATAAATCCTGCAGTTCTACTGTGACTCCAGTCAATAATTAATGTGTTGCATACTTCAAAATAGTTAGAAGAAAGGATTTTGAATGTTTTACTACAAAGAAATAAATGCTCAAGGTGACAGATATGCTAATTACCCTGCTTTGATCATTCTATAAGGTACAAATGTTTAGAAACATCACAGTTCACCCCTAAAGTGTACAATTATAAAAGATAAATTAAAAAATAAAACTTAGGAAAAGAATAGCAATCAGATCAGACTTGTGGCAGGTCAAATTTACTGTTTCAAAAGCATACTCCTGCAAACTTTTTGGTGTGTGTGGTACTGGAAATTGAATTCAGGGCCTCGTGCATGCATTCTATCACTTGAACCACACCCCCAGTTCTTTTTTGGTTTTAGTTTGTTCTTCAGACAGGATCTCACACTAACTCCCCCTCTCCCCCGGGGTTGGCTTCAAACTTCAGTCCTCCTGTGTCCACCTCCTAAGTTGCTAGGATTATAGGCGTGCACCACCATGCAATCTTTACACAGGAATTCATCCTGTGGAATCATTTGTTTAAAGACATAAGAACACATTAGCTGGGTTTTCCAAACTCGGAAGCCTTCTTTTTCCTTAAAGAAAAGGGTTTTTTTCTTTTTATGGCCAATGCACACATCTCCTAAACTAAGTTTTTAGTCTATCTCTGAGATGAGTTTCAGTTCTAGGAAGTGGCAAAGTTGTATCAATCCCCGCAGCATGGCAATTCTGACCAGACCTAGACTAAGAAACCCTTAGTGTGCAGTAGACCCCGAAATGGTAAACCCTAACATATACCTGACAACATGGAGTGGTCCTGTGCTTTGCAGGGATCACAATTTACATTGCAGAAAAGTATGCATATTATGGCTTTGAGGATTGTGTGGAACACACCATAATTCTAACCATTTGTGCACTTATGTGGCTTGCAAAGCACTTTTTCTTCTGCTGCCTCACTGTCTCACAGCAGATGCTTAGAGCAGTGAGAGCATAGATCTAATCTCATCAATGCAAACGCTGGGCTTAAAAGGTTATGCTTGTTCCCAGAGTCACTAAGGAAGAAGCAGGAAAGACCATGGTATCAGTGCAAGCTCTTACCCACCCACACCCCACCCTGCATTTCAAGGTATGGCCCGCCCAGCTCACTAAAGGTTTAGCTGACTCTCCTCCTTTGTGCTTTTTTTTTTATTTTCATGATGTGATGCCATTGACCCAGATGAGCTCAATAACTTTCGCCACTGATGGGTAAAGTTGAATTGGAGCAGGCAGAGAATGCAGGCAGGGCTGGAACTCTCCTTGTCATCTTGAATAGCATTGAGCAGTAGAAACACAGGGAAAAGCAAGTGTGGTTCATCCAAGTTCAGGAATCTATTGCACATACTGTGCTACCTACCAGTTCATCTGTTCTGCCTTACCTTTGCCCCATTTCATGCAGGAAGTCCAAGGTGACAATAATAAATTCATCTTCCTTGAAAGTCTTTCTAACTTGGATACCAACTTGCAATCATTTCACAGTCATCCTCCACACTAGACATCTTTCCATCCCCAAAGCTCTCTTTTTAGCTATTGATGGCTCACATTCCGTTTCCATCTCTACTTTCTTGCACATACCCCTGATGTAGATGAATTGTAATTATTGGATAGTGTCTTCCATTTATTGAGCACCTGTTATCTGCTTGGCCCAGTGGTAGGCATCTCATGTACTGTACATTATCTCAGCTCTCCAGCAGACTCTGAAGATCTACTCCCACAGTAGAGAGGGGCACAGCTGGGACTCAAAATGCATATCTGCCTGGCTTTAACGCCAAGGACTTCTCTGCAGTACAGAGCACATCAGTAAGAATACTTAGACTGTATTACCTACAGAAAGAATGAATTTAGTGAAAATGTTCATTTTTTAAATTAGACACTTTAATAGTATCATACTCTCTTTTCTTTGGGTCTTCCAATGTGGATTGGTGGTCTAAATTGATAAATGCAAACCTAATACAAATGCAGCACACCCGTGTCACATCCTTACAAACCAAAGGAAATGTGAACAGATAATGCACCCTTCTGTCCTACTGCTTTCTCCACCTGGTCAACTTTGGAAGGAAAACAAAATTCATAAGATCATTGAGGTCTAGAAGTTAACTTTTATTTTAAATCTGTCAAGAACTCCTGGCAGTTATCAATTTTATTTAAATGATTACAATTTGGCAAAATGAAGAAGAGAGGTAATTCCATTTGTATATAATATAAATAATGAGTTAGATTCTCAGCTGCTGGCTCAGCATTGTTCAAGATTCTTTTAAAGGATGCAGGGGACTTTAATTTCCAGAAAATGTTAAAGCAACAAAGAAAAGTAATAAATTAAAAGAAATTGCAATTGGAGATATTGCAAAGGATGTGCTAATTGTAAAATCTTTTTGACATGATTACAGTCCAGAGTCCCATCTTTGGTACATTAAAGAAGTCGTGTGAATAGCTGTCCTATACTGGCTTGCCATCTACAGTTGCTAACAGAGAACAAATTTGCCTATGTTTTTTAAAAGATGGCAAAAATGAATCGTGACTAACTCAGATAAAATACAACCAGCATTCATTCATGTAACTGAAATATGTTAAAACAAATACTTTTATTAAAGTATTTAATACCAGAATAACTTATTATAGTATGAAAAAGAGTGAAGCATCTGCCCTTAGTTTTCACTGACATGCTCACATTTTGGCAAAACTGTTTTGTAACAATCTCAGTTTTCATCATGGATCTCTAACTACTTAAGAATGTAAACCAAAAGAGCCCAATACTTCATCTGCTCATACAGTCATAACTTACGTATCTTGCTTTGCACTTACTGTTACTGCAAAGCCCAATTTAGAACAGAAGTAAAAATATATATACAAAATACTTTTATATCAAATTATTTTCATTCACTAAATAAACCCCATCCCCAAATGCTATGTTACATGAAAAAGTGTCCTACAGCTTATATTAAGACTGACACTGTCCATATAGCAACCAGAGCAGCCTTTTGGTTTTAAAAGCATTTTGCAAAATAAAGAAAAATGTCACCACATGGCTGCACTATTGGCTCTTATTCACACACAAAAAAATGCTTTCCAGTTAAAAAAAATTACAAAATAGATTACATACCCAGAAAAAAATCCCACCATAAAACAGTCAAGTACTTTTTTACTTCTCTGTAACACACACACTTTTATATTTGGTGTCTCTACTGTTTATTTAGGTTTTGAGTCTTCCCAAGCTGATTAGAATATTAGTGTTGATTGAGAAGGATACTCTTCTTTTTTGATATTGGTTATTCTCACTCAATGGTAGTCTAATTTAGAAACAAAATGTTCTTTCTTTAATGCTTGATTTCACTTAATTTTTACTTAAATATCCTAGTTGGCAGAATCCAGAGACTGTTCAATGTTTTGTTTTCCATATGTTTTAAATTTAAAAATCAATTTTACGCATGTATATGTATATTCACAGAGATACATTTCCTACATTGTCTTGCTCTCATTGCAATACAAATTACCCATCAGCAATTGTAATTTGAAGTGAACCAAATAAAAAGCTTTTAGTCATTCCATATGAAAAACAGTTTCCATCACAAAAAAACACTGAACTCTAATGCAAACAGGATTATGTTTTAAAACCAAACTATAGGTTTTGTGTTACACAGGAACATTTTCAGTCATTTATATAATAGACTTTAAAAAAAAACTTCAGAAAAAGAAAATCCAAAAAACTTCTAAAGGACATTGTGGTGTTTTCCAGCCTGGCTTAATTTACATTTTTTCCTGGTCATAATATACTCCTTGGAATTTTAAAGTAGTTTGAAGGAATCACTTCTCAAATGTGTGGACTGTATGGCTCACTTGCACCTTTCATTTTGGAAGTTTGTAACATTATCAGATGTGCAGAAAAATACACGCATAAAATTCTCTCTGCACTCTGAAATACACAATGAACAATTTTCAGTACTGTAGACTTTGTTTTTTAAAGGTACACTCATCTGGGCTGAACAGATTTCCAAGTTTTAGCATGTGAGTTATCAAATATATTTCAAGGGCTTTCAGCAATTCTGGGTTCGGTCCTGAAATGGTCAGGTCTGACTGGAATGATGCACACAGAATAATAAGCATATGGCATTGTCACTTTGAGGCATAGCCACTCCACTATGCCCACGTTGGAGCTTATTTTCGGGAAGCAAGGCACTTACTGAAGGTAATGCAGACGTTTTATGCGTACTTTGAGTAACATAAAATAAGTTAATATTTTTGATTAAAATGAGTTTTTTTTATAATTTATCTTTTATAGAAGCAACTAAACGATATAGTTTGGATAATTAAAGATAAGAGGAGGTTTGAAAGGGAGCCATTTTTGCTCCTGCTTTAGCTCTCTGGATGAGGATTTATGTAAAAACCCCGACATGAAGAACATCCATTGGATCAGCTCTCAAAACTGCTGTGTGAGTGGTACTTTGACAGTCTTTACTTCTGCTATATGAGAAGACTTCTGGATGATGCAGCTGGTAGTTCCCTGCAGTTTGTCTTTTCCTTGTGCAAGATTTGTTAAGGCCATAGCTGCATTGATCTCTTTCCAGTATGTATCATCCTTGCTCGGCCCCTTTCTGTGAGCTGCACTGGATTTAAGCAAAATAGAAAGAAAATGATCAAACTCACTGCAGTTTATATGAGAAAAACTGTATCACTGCAAAGCATGAATGGCAAACAAAAATAGTGTGCTCACCTGTCACCCTTACTGGAGCCATTTTCCAGAGCATCTGCAAAGAGAAGCAAAAAATAAAATAAAAAATCAATTATTTTTTTCTTTTTTTTTCTGTTTTAGTCTCAGGAGTTTAATTACCAGGAATAAAATTTCATCTGGAAAGATAACAATTACCTTTTTTTTTTTTACAAAGATCAAGCTTTATTATATTAAGATGCAGAGAGAGAAAGAGAGAGAGAGAATAAGATGAAAGCAAGTTGATATACAGCAATCTGAGGTTAATTTGAGGTAAGAGGTTGGGTCTTTTCACTAGAAGGTATGTACAGGTGATGACCATACCTGGGCCAGGTGCTGGTCTTGCCTCATCACTCACTGGCCTTGCATCCTTGGGCAGATTATGATGCCCCATGAGGTCTGGAGCCCAGTTTCCTCAACTACAAAATAAAGAGGTTCCTACAAGGTGTAGAGGGTATCTCCAGCTCTGTGTTCTGTGATTTTATGGTACTCAAACCTCAGAAAACACTCTGGTACTTAGTTGCCTCTGGTCACTTAGGAAATGAGTAACAGACCCAATGCTGACTGCATCATGGAGTTCCTAGAGCATTAAGATGAGCAAGGAGTAGTCCTCAGCCTCCAACTATTTGAGTTCCCAGCCATGCATGACAGGAAGTGGGAGGATGCTGGCTTGTGTTCATCTGCTCCTGCACTCAGAACATCGATGCCTCCCAACACCACAAAAAACAACGAAAGATGAAAATTGCTCCTTGATCTTGATTAGCACCTTTGTGTAAAAGAATTGGCACTGGAGGGAAGAACATGTATGGGACACTGTGTGCAAAGCATGGGAAGGGCAGGCAGAGGAGTGGAGCAGGGACTCCCCGTTAGCTTAGGAAACTGAATCTAGGTAGTGGATAAGTCACAATCATCACCATCATCTTCCACAACAACAGGAAACATTTGGTAGCCTCAGAATGAGCCTCTGTGATGCACAGAGGAGACATGAAGAGTATAATACTTGCTCAAAGCCCTCTTTTCATCCTATGACCTTTGCAAAACTCTCCTTTCTAACTGTAGATCCTCTCATTTGCTTTTTCTCCCATCTCCCCAGTATTTTCAAGACTTCTTTTTTTTAAATCTACAATGCTCAAGGCTTGCTAGGCAATGCAGCTTAATTTCCAATCCTGAGATCTGAGAAAATCATACAACTGGGGGAGGCTTGACAAGCATATCAATATGATTATAATATAGTCCACCTGTTAACAGATTCTCTTCATTAGGTCTGGGGGCCAGAAGGTTCTTGGTCTTGTCAAGGAAAGAATTTTAAGGATGGACACAGAGGAGACTTCATGAGGATCAAGTTTGTTAATGCAAACCAAAGAGAAAGTACAACAAAAGTGCCCCTTCCAGATGGGGGAATGGGCAGGTTCAAGAAGGAGCACTACTTTGGAGGTTCCAAGACCTCAAGCTTTTATTGGAATTGCAGATGTGGAGGTGATCAGTACTGGAAAATTGGGTTAATGTGTCATCAATGTGTAGAGACTGGGCTACATGTCATCAACTCCTCCCACATGTTGTGTGAGGGAGTTCATGGCCTTAGATGGTCAGTCTGGGGTTTTCAGTTTTTTATAGACTGAAGAGGCTTTGGGTGAACAAGACTCTGTTGAGTCATTCCTCTAAATCAGTGGGACAGGGTGTGATTTTTTTTTAAATCAACATCCAAGCCTTGTTCTCAGCCATCAGCTTTCCTAACTCCCTATCCAATTTCTACTTCACAACCAGGGAAAGCATTTCACAGGGCAGAGATGGCTGAAAGAAAATAATTGTCTGACCATGTGGATGAGGCAGTTAAGCTTCAATGCTCTTTATGCATAAAAGGAATTGGGACAGACTACTAACATATCTGAATCAGGCCTTAAAGTGTAGACCTTGAGACACCAGTGGGTCACAACAAGCTCTTTTCACAATCCTTCACCTAAAGACTCAGGGAATTTAAAAAAAGGAGGGGCATGCAAAGAAGTAAAGCAAAAGCAGTTAGTAAACAGATGACAAGGTGGTTGTGAAGAATGAGACCCAATAACTGATGAATTGCTAAAGAAAATATGGTATATGTATACCATGGAATATTGCTAAGCCATAAAGAAAAATGCAATTATGTCATTTGAAGGAAAATTGATGAAACTGGAGATCGTGATATTGACTGAGATAAGCCAGGCTCAAAAAGCCAAGTACCACATGCTGTCACTCATTTGTGTCTAGATCTAAAATGTTTATGCTGATAATAACAATGGTGTGACATGAACGTATATGGGGACTGTCAGTAGGGAATCAGTGGGAGGGAGAAGGGGAAAGGACGGGATACCGAGGGGTGAGGAGGGTGAAAGTACACTATATATCTACATATGAACACGGCATAGAGAAACCCACCCAACACTGTTTGAAAAAAGGGGAGGAATGGAAATATAATGGAGAGAGTGAACTTGTTCAAGGTACACTGTTTGCAAATGTATGGAATTATCACAGTGAAATTCCCTCATGTTGCTAATGTATGCTAATTAACGCATGAAGTCAAAGTTTTTAAATGTCCATAAAATGAATAAATGAGATAGTATGTGTCTTACCCCAAAACAGAACAACAAATGTTAGCTCTTTCAGTCTCCTTTCATTGAACATTCAGGCAGTATTTAATAGGGCCTGGTATATTGGCTCATTTCTATAATCCTAGCTACTCAGGAGGCAGAGACCTGGAAGATCATGGTTCCAGGAGAGTCAGGGTCAAATGTTCACAAGATCCCCATCTCAACCAATGACTTGGTGTGTTGACATTCACCTGTCATCCCAGCTACATGGAGAAGCATAAATGGGAGGATTATGGTTCAGGCCAACCTGGTCATAAAAAGTAAGATTCTATATCAAAAGTAACCAAAGCAAAAAGGGCTGGTGGTGTGGCTCAAGTGGTAGAGCACCTGTTTCACAAGTGCGAGGCCCTGAGTTCAACACCTGGTTCCACCAGATGAGCAGTTGGATAGTCATCCTCTGCAGCCTGTCAGCCCCTGGGCCTTCTGGCCCTGCTGGGTTGGCCTGGGTGGTCAGTTCCACATCTGCTGTTTTGGGTAATTTGGGGTTCTTAAAATACACATATTATTAATTAGAAAAATAATAATAATCTGTAGTTTACACAACTTTGATAATTCTGATTTGTGTACCACTCACTATGTGCCAAGCACTGTTCAAAGCATTTGCATCTTAACCTTCTCTCATGTTAGTGAATGTGAACAGGAATAGCATGTTGCTGTGGTGTCTGTAAAGTCATTCTTTGTTTAGCCCTAAAATCTATAAATCTTTACTCAGTAATGACAGGGACAAGGTGCTACCAGAACAGAGAACAAGTCAAGGCCTTTGTTTGGGAGAAGGAAAGCCAGCAACATTAGATAGTTTACAGAGAGAGAGAAAAAAAAATTTAGCCTTCACTCATTTTTGCCCAGAAATTGCAACAATTCCATTGCCAAAGTAAAGCAATAGGTTATGGAGAGATTTATTCAATGGAAAGATTTGGCAAAAGCAGAATAAGTTCCATGAAGCTTAAGTAACATTAGGGAAATAACAAAATATCATTTAGAAAACACAATGTAACTGATGGTCTGGTTCATAAGCAAAGCATGCTCCCATGTACAGAAGGACCAGACTTGTTTTGCTACCTGAAACAGAAACCTGAGCACAGTTTTTATAACTTGTCTGAGTTACCATACAGACAAATGGCTATCAAGTGTGTCATGGGATAGATCCCTGGCATGACACCAATGCATGGAGCCTGCAGCAGAAGAAGATGGAATTCACTGTCCATGTAGCATTTCTTATTCAAGATGTGCAGTGAACTCCTGTGCTCTGCAGCCCCATGAACTCCTGGACATGGCTGGCACTCCCTGTGGCTGACACCTTGAACACGTGCCACTGAGAAACAAGCTTACTGCAGCCAACTGTGAAATTATAAAATTCTGCTTACTCTTGGGGTGTATGTGTTTTACACAGCAGTGCCTATGAAAATATCTTTGAAGTGTAAAAACCCAGACTCTCATCCCCATTTGGGCATTCTTAATTAGTTTCACAAATCTTCAGTGTCCTAGGCCACATTCAGAAGACTGAATTCTGGGTTTGATTTCAAGGATGTGTGGTGGGCACATCCAATGTCCTAAGGTATGGAATAGGTTCTGAAGATGTAGGAAAAGTCTTAAGGGAAGACAGCACATAGGTTCCCTTTTGCTAGGTAACATTTGTGCTTTTGTAGAAAAGCAAGATCTGGTAGTTTGGGGAGATATTTTCTCTATTCATTTTGCTGAGATGAATTCTGGGGAGATGTCCCACCTATTTTAGAGGACTGATATCATTTGAGGGCTATTAAATGTTGTAATGTTTTTTTCTTATGTTCTTTTCCTTTGAAGTAACAACTTGTTGGCTCCTTTCCCATTCAACTGTTTGTGTCTTTTTAGGTCACAGTTAGTACTTAAGGAGCAGTTCCTCTGTTGTCTCCATCACTGGTGGTCATGGGGCTCAGAGCACTTCTGCCCACTAATGAGAGGTGGGCCCACCAGTTCCCCTCTAGAAGTAGCACCCAGGGGCTCCAGGAATAAGAGAAGGAATAAGAAGGAAGGATTCAGAATGCCACTGAACTCTAGAGGGTCCCAAGTCTGAGCTAGCCCTGGTCTTCAGGCTCCTGGGTGAGGTTCATTAGCAGGCGTGGACATAGGGTCCGATGGCCCAGCATTTGCCCAGCTTTATCTCCTGTTCTGCAAGTAGCTTGGCTCAGCCTCCCAAAAGTCTGAGCTAAAACGCCTTTTTAGTTCTAAGGTTCCAAAAATCAGCTCTGCTGTCAATTACCATAAAAGCAACTGGTTGGCAGGAACAACATATTGAACCAGCCAAAAGAGCGTGTTTTAAGACCAAAAAAGAAAAGGAAAGAAAAAAAAAAAAAAAGAGGTGCATAGTTAGGAAAATCTTGGATGCTGTAAAACCCAAAAACCATGTTGAAAGTTAAAATGGGGCTATCCTCAGTTTGGACAT